GCGAAGTACAAGTTCAATATTAAGCTTTTTGATGAAGAATAAAAGAACCGATAATCCAACCCTTGAACACACCTGCCCACATTAAACCAAAATCTGTTTAGAATTCCGCAATTGATGGTGGGTTTATACCCGAGAATAAGGAATAACGCTTAACGATTAAGGCGTATCTTAAAAGTTCGTTGCGCATCAGTCCATAGAGGTGTTTATAAACCGAATAGTGCCTAACGCTTAAAGAATAAGGCATAAGAAAGTTGCCAACTTTTAACTTTTATCTTATGCGTTAGGCGTTATTCTCATGAGGCATGCGCAGTTTGTAAGATAAATGGTATTTCAATATCCCACGTGACCGCCAAACATCGTATTTACATTTTGTTGTGAGGTTAGAAAAGCATATTATTAATCCAAAAAGAACTACCACTTCTTCAGTGGACAAATCCATTTTCATGTACAATATTTATGTGAAATTAAGCTTTTATTGGTATATTACCGCGATATTGTTGACATAAACACACACAACCCTATTGTTTCTTAAGCCTATGCTTCCATTTGATTGACTATACATAAAATAATATTGTTCCTTATTCTGCTTTATAAACACCCCATTAGGAGTTATTTCTTAAGCGTTATTCTTATGCCTTAAGCCTTATCCTTATCCTCGTGTATAAACCCATCACGAATGAGGATTACAATGTAGCCAAGTTGTCGTACCTACTTAAAATCATTATTAATTACGTCCAAAATAGCATTATTGCCTCGATTGTCTAATTAGTTGCATTTTTCAAACAACCATCATGAAGAGTTTTCAAGAAACTGCATTCTACTTTGAAAATCGCTTGGTATAAGATTTTTGCACGAGAACTTTGCTCGTCTATGCGGTTTGATTTTATACTTTCTCGAAAAACTCCTAACGTGATATCCCGGCACATTTCTTCATAACGAACACTTTAGTGTTTACGTTTTGAAATTATCTTCAACAGTTGGTAATAGGGCTATGTCTTCTCGGGTCCTATATCTATTTGATTCATAAATATAATATTTTTCTTGTCAAAATGTTCACAATTTATTTGGTTCTTCCGCAATATTGAATGCAAATTCTTGAAAGGTTGTCTCCTTTCCGGATACCGTCGATGGTACAAATTG